AGTGATCATCATTTCTATTTAGAAGTAAATACATTCTTATTCTTCAAAGTAGAATTCTTGGAGAATTCCAGTAAGATAACTTTAATCGTTTTTAAGATACAACGGTTCAAAATCTAACAATTGGACAATTTTGCTGCTACACGATTTGGACAATCTTGCTGTCCTCCGCTCCTTATATACATCTATGAGACTAATGCAAGCTTTCTGCTTTACATATCCACATGTATTTATTTGTGACTGATCGTTTTCTTTTATCCTCTCTTTCTTAAAATTTCCATCATTTTCTTCCTCTCTCTCTCCATCCCTCCCTCCCTCTCTTTGTGTGTTTGAATGTCTGAACTGGTTCAACAATGAATGTAGTACCTCAAAACATTTCCCATTTCAAGTCCGCGCAAACGCTTTTGAACTCAAGGCTGGAAAGTGACGATAGAGAAACTCCAACCCAAATATGGCAGCAGTTCACTATATTTTGTCTGATCTGACTTTTGTGAAGAGTGAGCATGGAAGGGGGGGGGTCATTTACTTACTTAAGAGAGGCATCTTTTGCAACGAATTCTATATGTGAGTTTAAATTGATGTCTTCGGTGAACACTAGTTTCAACAAACGTTCGAAGCGATGAACTACCTTGATATAGTACATGTTCATCGTGATAGGGTCTGCTAGGTGACGAGACTGGTTTGAAGTTACTGAATGTTGCAATTCATTTTTCCACAATTTTTCTTCTTTTTATTAATCAGCAATATAGCCACTAAGACACAAGAGGTTACTGACTGTTAGATAATATGAGAAAAACTGCTATTAAGGAGAGAGGACAATAAAAGCATACGAATCATGAAAACTGAATATTAGCGATTAGTCAGGGGAAATTCTGTAGTCCAGTAACCCCTTATGGCTGTAAACAGAGCTGGCGCTAGAGTCTCGCCCCCACCATGAAACTTCGATACGAAGTCCTTCTTTCTATTACCTGTAGATTTCAAACTTTCCCAACTTTGTCGGGGAGGGGGTGCACAAATCCACAAATGAATATGGGAGGGGAGGTCAGCGCTTTTTTAAATTACCAAAGATCAAGTGATTATCCAATTTAAATGAAAGTTTCAGTACATATTCATTAATTATCTACTTTTATAACGAATAGGTTTTTATTTTTTAAAGATCTGAGAAAATGCTATTCTTCTTATAATAAGCACTAATATTTTCATGACTAAATTTTACTTAAAAAAATGTTTAAGTCTTAAAGTTTTCCATTTATATAAATATTAATCGGCGACGCATCTCCGCTGGAAAAACGGATTTAAAAAGATTCCAGTACAACACAAACGAGATTTTCTTAAAAATTTGTTTTTGAAAACTGTATTTTAGTTTTCGGGAAATTTTTTCATGTGTTGAAATCTTAAAACTTTTTATTTTTAAGCAATCATTTTCCTTTTTTTTATCTTTCTAGAAATTTTATTTTAGTTACTAGACGTGGCCTTCTGATTAGTAAAAAAAAAGAAAAATCAGTGATCCTCCTTCGTGGGTGATCTAGGAATAAAAAAAATGATTTTACCGAGATATATTACACTCTCAATTGATTTAAAAGAACTATTCAGAAAGAAAACTACAATTTAAAAAATAAGCACTACTGAAATTAGCACTTTTTCATCCCCTCCCCAGTAGGCATGAGGCCTCCACGTGGTTGAGAATTTCGGGGTAGTAACCACTGGCCTTGTTAATTATTGTAGTTGATAACTGACGATATATCTTAGGTATATAAGTATATAAAAGCAAAAAAAAAAAAAAAAAGAAAAAACGCTGCTGATACTAGCCCGTTTGAGGCTCTAGCCTCATCGGGGATTCCTGCGTAGTACGCATCGCATCGGCTATGCAGATACAGGATGCATAATATTAGTTGATAACTGACAGTGTAACGTCAATTTAAAGATATTTTTAAAAATGGCAGATAGCTATAAAAAAAAAACTGCTGAAAAAAGAATGGCAGAAGCCACAACGTGGTTAAAAAAAAACGCATGGGTCCCCCACCTGTCGGACGTTTCGAGAGTAAGACGCGCCGGCCCTGGATGTAGCTTTGACAACGGTGTGTCCTCGGCAAGATAGCTTGGTATAGCCTAATTCTTGTCAGTGTGGTTAGAATTGTCTTTCTCTTAGACTGATTGCCATAGAAGGCAAGAGAGTATAGTATACCCTGCTGTTTAAACCAAAACATGGAGCAAGCTAGATTCATTAAGATTATTTCTACTAAGTAAACGAACCAAACTCAATCAGAAAACTTGGCACGCTGAATTCACTTCGCGTGCCGTTACGCAACTCTCAAATTCACACAGTTCTATTATATGCGTTCAAAAATGTTTGAATACTTTTATTTTAGCCTTCGAAAAGGAACATTGTATGTGCTTTAAAGAAATGATGGATCTGTATATTTTGAAATATGGATAAAAGAAGTATATAAACTAATGCTACCTAATTCTGTGGGACACTTCCCTATTTAAATGAACGGGGAAAGGATGTTGCTGCCGACTTTTGTTTTCTGCGGCTTATCTCATGTTTTCATGTTATTTATAGCCAACAAATAATTTTAGATTATAAGAATTTTTTTTTTTTTTTTGCGATAACAATTTAGTGATACAAATCTTACTAATTCACCCATAGCTGAGAATATTAGAGAATATTAGGGCGGGGGGGGGTCCATACGCTTCCCAATTGAAGTAAGTAAATATGAAGAATCTAACTGGAATTGGAACTCGGCACTCCGATTAACAAATCCGAGTCATGACATCGTCCGCAGATCCAAACTTACAGCACCTGGTATTCCGAAGCGGTCATCCATCTCGGTACTGACCGTGTTCGACGATGCTTGACTTCGGTGATCGTACGGGGAACGGCGTTTCAAAGTGCGGTGACCCTAAGCCAGATGGGCCTGTCGTATACGAGCAACAAAACTGAGGGATATAGAAAATTTATGTTCTTCTCCCATCTCTGCGTGAGGTCCCATACTATCAAAAAAATTCTGAAACTTGGCGTCACATAGGAATGTGTATAAATATTATTAAATCATCTAAAATTATATCCCTCTCTCTCTTCCTCTCTCTCTCTCTCTCTCTCTTTCTATCTATATATATATATATATATATATATATATATATATATATATATATATCCAGAATCTTTTTTTTTTTTCTTTTTCGCTGTTATTCTCTATCACTCCTATCTTTCTATTTCTCCTCCTCATTTTTTCTCTCACTTTCTTTTTTATGTATCTATCTCCCTTTTATTTTACTCCTTCTCTTTCTCTCCTTGTGTGACTTACTTTCTCTCTCTCTCTCTCCATTCCTATATACCCATTTCTTCTTCTTCTTCTTCTTCTTCTTCTTTATTCTATTTATCTATATATCTACCTGACAAGCTTTTCCCTGTCGCATTTACATTCATTTCCTATCTCTTATTCTCTATCACTCCTCTTTCACTATATATCTTTCCATCCTTGACTCTCTCTCTCTCTCTCTCTCTCTTTCTCGCTTTCTATTCCCTCTGATGTAATAATAATAATAATAATAATAATAATGCTCTTTCATTAATGAGAGACTCATTTCATGTTTTCAAGTGCCTGTACACGCAAGAGCTTGACAGGTTGAATGAAAGTATAGGCACAAGTGATTGAGTGCATTCGCTCGTAAATATATATGTACCTGAATGCACAATGCTAATCAATGCATAAATTGTGTTTATGAGTGGCTATTGATAGCAAGTCCAAAAGGGGAGTAAAATGAAAAGTCGAAATACAAGAAAGAGAAAAGTGGTGAGTAAATCACAGAGATTCGAACAGTCCGAAAAAGAGATAAACAGAGATTTCAAATGAAATAGACACACATTAACATGGCGTAGATATTGCAGAATTAGCAAACGTCGGAGATTATTGAGAGCAACGAGTTTTACGTAGATTGTGCCGCGTTTAACTTGTTCCTTAGAAAGAATTGGTCAGATAGAGGCTGTAAAGCTAAAACGAAAAAAAAAATGGAGTGGGGGTGGACAGAATAGAGATTGAAAATGAGAAGGTTGGGGAGAGAGAAGAGAGATTGAATGTGAAAATGAAGAGATTGGAGGGGGCGAGAGAAGAGAGATCGAAAGTTAAAATGAAGACGTGTTGAGAAAGAGAAGAGAGATTGAACGTGAAAATGAAGAGGTTGGAGGGGGCGATGGAGATTTGAGATGAAGGGAAAGTCAAAGTTAAAATAAGAAAGTGGGAGAGTGGGAGAGAATTGAAACTGAATGTTAAAATGAGAAAGCGGACATGGATGGCAAAGGAGTTATGAAATTAAGTGGGGAAAATGAGAAAGTGAAGGAAAGAGAAGAGCGATTGACAGTTAAAACGATTAAATGAGAGTGAAGAGAAATTACACGTTAAAATGAGAAAGTGGGGGAGGGAGAAGAAATATTGAGAGTTAAAATGAGCAAGCTTTCGGGGAGAGAAAGGAATTAAATGTTAAAACGAGGTAGTGGCGGAGGGAGAGAAGAGAAATTAAATGTTAAAATGAGATAGTGAGGAAGAGAGAGAAGAGAAATGTTTAAATGAGATAGAGGGGGGGAGAAAAGAGAGACTGAATATTAAAATGAGAAAGTAGGGGGAGAAGATTGAATGTCACAATGAGATTGTCGGGGAACAGATTGAATGAGAAAATTGATGTAGAGAGAAGAGAGATCGTAACTTAAAATGGGAAATTAAATTGAATTGGGAGATTAAATGTGAAAATGGGAAAGTGGGTAGGGAGAGAGAAAGAAGTAAGATTGAATGTCACACTAATTAAAAGAGAAAGTGTGGTACTACAGAAGGATGCTGAGGATATCATGGACCGAGCGTGTGAGCAGCGATACAGTCTTAGAGCGGTCGAAAACAAGATGGAGGCTTATACTTAACATCAGAAAGAGGCAGCTGAAGTATCTGGGACACATAATGAGGAAAGAGGGCCTGGAGAATCTGATACTCACGGGTCGAATAGAGGGAAAGAGAGACAAGGGAAAACAACGCGTAACATACCTGGTGGACTTAAGAAAGTGGATGACGGAACTTGGTCTGAGGAAGGAAATAGAAGAAAGGAACTTGTTGAGAGCTGCAAAGCAGAGAGGGAGGCGGAGAGCCATGATCGCCTGCTTCCGGAAAGGACATTGCACATAAAAAGAAAGAACTTAATTAGATGGAAGATTTGTGAGGATATTTATTTCCGTAAAAAAAACACCCCCCGCCGAAAACCTGGCACAAGGCTTAAAAAGAGCGATTGGGAAAAGACTGTCATTATCTGTCTTAATTTTTAGCTAGCCACAACCACTGACCCAATCAAACAAAACAATATTCCTATCACCAAAACAACACATTCATTCTTACCTTCCTTACTACATCCACCAAAATACCTCATTGTCTCATGAAAATCCTAAATAGTCCCCCATATGTACAAATATTGGAGGGGAATAAAAACAGCAAGATGGAAGATTCGTGAGAGTGCCGCTATCAACTATTATCAAAATATAAATATGCTCCCCGGATTTTTTCGATTATCACCCTTACTGAAATAATTACTTTTTTCCGAAACAACGAAGTAAGAGAAAAAGGTTAGATTCCTTTTATTTAAATTATATTATACATAAATTAATTCTAAACTAAAAAATATATACATATTAATTATATTATAGAAAAAAAATCAAGAACATCATTTATTCACGTTTGTTTATTAGACAAATAAAATAATTCACTTAGAATGCATCATATTTTCGCAAGAATTTTTCAGGTAGACGTGTATATATTTATGACCATTTGTTAAATCAAAATAAAAAAAATAAAAATAAACCTTTTTACTTTTGATTATAAATACTCGTTGCAATACAAAATCCTTTCATGTCCCTTGATAAAGACCATCAGAGGACGAAATGCGTTGTCCAAGATAAGTTTTCCATTTGTCTTGATTCATTCATATATATATATATATATATATATATATATATATATATATATATATATATATATATATATATATGTATTAGAGCTAAGTGGTTACTTCATATCTATGTAACTATCGTAATCAGTTGATACTTATATATTATCAAAGTGATTTGATCATTCTCCTTTTATCTATCTATCTATCTATCTATCTATCTATCTATCTATCTATCTATCTCTTTATATGTATTAACTAATTGCATATTTTAGTCTCTTCATATCTATGTATCTATCTCAGTTTATACCTCCCTCTCTCCCCATATATATATATGAATGTTTCATTAAAAATGACAGACAAGATAGTACGATTAAGATTTTGATTTAATTTTTCTTGTTCGAGCATAACACTAAAAACATACACACAACGCACACACTCAATTAAACTGAAAATAATAAAATCATCCTTGATAATGGCTAAACGTATAAACGAAAGCGCTCGTGATTATACATTTGGACAGTTTCTACAAACTCTATGTCCAAAAAAGAAAATACTTTTTCGAACACAAGAAATATCAAATATAAAGGTTAATCGTAGTAGCTTGTAGGTTGTTTTTAATGAAACATGTATAAATGAAGGATTGCAGCCTAAATACTCAAAATACACAATATATATATATATATATATATATATATATATATATATATATATATATATATATATATATATTAGTTATGTGGCTAGTCGCTTCATAGTGAGTCGGGCAGATTAATATTTGTCCTCTCAAGTCTGTACTTACGTATCTATCGATCTATCTATGTATCTAGATAGCTCCCATATTTTAATTATTTCTTTCTTCACTATCTATCTATCTATCTATCTATCTATCTATATCTATGTGCCTATAAATCAATCCGTATTTAGAAGCTGACGAAACATGTATCACTTGCCATCCTTTCTAAATACTTCTAGCATCCAACCGACACTTCACGTGTCGAGGTCAGCCTGACGTGAACACTAACCGCTGAACCGTGTCGTCAGCAGCGTGAATGCATGCACTTTGACTGCCGGGACATGCTTATTGACTAGGCGTCCGTAAATGGGAGACCAGCCATGCGTGCACATGCTTGTTGAGGGAAGCCATGCGGTAGGCCGCCCTCTACCGTTCATGATGCTTGTTGCTGCATGGCAATGTCATTGCCTCTAAAAAAAAAAAAGATATAACCAGTTCTTACCCTTTTCTTAGTTAGTTGAGAGAATGACCGAAGATAGATAGATAGATAGATAGATAGATAGATAGATAGATTTCGCGAAGAAATTGATGTTATCCAAAATATGGGGTTATATTATTTAAGATAAACTTATATTTACATGAAAAATATATCTTGCGATTTTCAATTTATAATATCTATATCCTTAAAGAGACATATTGGTACTAACTGCTTTGTCCTTATGAACTTTTACATTGCAAAATACAATTTAGTATAGTTTATTTATAAATATGTATATCCAAGATATAGGCTATATAAACATATGTTAAATAAACAGAATATCCCAACAAGAACATTTTTTTTATTATTTTGCAGGTTAATATCACCTCTTTTACATTTTATAACGTTTTTACTTTTATACAATATTTACATTATTAGGACTATTGTCCTCATCTTTGTCGCCATATTTATTACAACGTTTCGGTCGTTGTACGCTCCGGCCTTCTTCAGATGGCTGGAATGTCGAAGTGAACCCTTTATTTCGCTCACTGGGTTAGACTGTTCTAGTTCCACGTGCCATGTTTACTGGAGGTCAGTTATCAGTTATCTCCAGTTAATTCCAACCATCTGAAGAAGGCCGGAGCGTAAAACGGCCAAAACGCTGTAATAAATATGGCGTCAAAGATGAGGACAATAGTCCGAATAATGTAAATAATGTACATAATACTACATCTCAGAAATATAGACAGATTTTACTTTTATGTTCGAAGATTTTGTTAAATATTCTGTTGTTTGCACTTAACTTTTTACAATAGCTTTTGTTGTAGCTCGGTTTGTTCCTGTCTCTCTATATATCACTATATATACATACATATATATATATATATATATATATATATATATATATATATATATATATAAAAGTTCAGAGTAGATAACATGAGAAAGATTTTAGAGTCCCATGAAAATAAGTGGATACAACGTCTAAAAACACAATATCCAGCCGGGATAAACCATAAATTTAACAATATAGATAGTACTAATATATAACTCAACAAATCAAAACCTACCCACATTTTTCACCCACACAAGATAGACATGCTTACGGAGGTGTTGAGGCCTCACACTTATACACACCCTCAGCAATACACACGCTTACACATATCATACTCACTCACTCCCTAAGAACCAAATAACACACAACCAAACACTAAACAGAGACACATCCCCTCACTAGGTCCAATAAAACAGTCAAAATGACAAGAGAATTCAGAGCAACATGTATCTATCCAGCTCTTATCTCAAATAACAACTTAAAAGAGACTGTTTGACCAACACAAGGAATGTTAAAAGATTCATGTTAAAAAAATAAAAAAATAAAAAAAACAAATAAAAACTACAGACAAAAGTTCATATTCTCCAGCAAGACATTCATTTCTATAGTTTACTGCTACCAGCAAGCAGAAATATTTCTTCTCCTGATGATGGCCATTTTGGCTGAAACTAGTCGAGGAATCTAAATGAAATAATAATACAAAAAAAAAAAACGAAAGAATATTAATCTACAACCCAGTGTGTCTAAAGATTTTAATTTTTTAATATTTTTATTGTTCAATATATATATATATATATATATATATATATATATATAACAATGAATTTCTACTGCAAAATTTTATTATAGCCTTAAATAGAACTGATGTAAACATATAGATGCGAAAAAGGCCTTCATGAAACAATTATTTTTTTAACAGAAACAACGAAATACACTGTAAATTAAATTAGGGGACAAAACTAGGAATTCATAAAAAGGTTGGAATATATATATATATATATATATATATATATATATATATATATATATGGCGTATCAGAAAAAAAAAACCTTTACAAATTTTGGGGCGGCCTCCTGACAGTAAAAAAAGTACAAATGTCCATATAAACATATGTCTGCCAATCCTTCGTTTTTGAGTTTATTGTGGTTTACGGTAAATGGTGCTTTGTTGCTATGTAGACAGGGTTACATTTGTCATTCGTGTACATTTGTGACTAGTCTGTCTACAACGTTTAAAGTGTGTAGTAGTTAACGGAGAAGAGTTCCGTTTAACAAATGGCAAGATATTCATATCGCGAGCACGCACATACGATTTTTACATACAGGCGCGTGAATGGTAATGGACGCGTGGCGGCACGGCTGTATCAGATTACGTTTCCAGACCGAAAGCAGCCGAATTATCCTATATTTGCTGCTATTTATCGTCGCGTTAGTGAGACAGAATCCGTAGCACCACAAACTGTGGATCAACGAAGACCGAGAGGATAACACATTCTACAGGCTGTCCAGGTCTTAGCATACTTCAAGTATCCCTAGCATATCGTATATCTCATAGTAACGTATAGAGGGTACTTCAAGAGCTCGTACGCAGGTATTTCAAGAGCAGCTCCTCTATCCGTATTATTTGCAACGTGTGCTGATTCTTTCGCCTTATGATCACCACAGGAGATCTTTTGCCGTTGGCTTATTGCATAAATTGCCGATCCATTGTTTGCCTCTTCACTCATGTTTACAGAAGAGGCAATATTTGGAAGAGATGGAATAACAAATTTACACAACTAATATTTGTGGGCGCATCGGAATCCCCCTGGTACAAAAGAGGCTAGACAGTAGCATCAGTTTACGATATATTAAATGCCATATTTCTTGTCATCTAGCATGAAACAACACGCAAAGTTCTCCTAAATTTCACGCATGTTTTCAGTTATTATTATTTTTATTATTATTATTATTATTAATAATATTAATATGAGTCTGTCTATATCTCTGAGATGAGGTATTATGTACATTATTTACATTATTCGGACTATTTTCCTCATCCTTTTCGCCATATCTATCACAGCGTTCCGGCCGTTGTACGCTCCGGCCTTCTTCAGGTGGTTGGAATGTCGAACCGAACCTTTTACTTCGCTCACTGGGGTAGGCTGTTCTAGTTCCACGTGCCATATTTGATGGATGTCAGTTATCTCCTGTTAATTTTCCCTCTGAAAGTTCTCCACTGCCGTAACTCACACTCTTTTGGGTCCTATCACTGGATCTAAACTTTATCCACTGTGCCATGTGTCCTTGTGTATTAATATTAATATTAATAATATTATTATTAATATTATAAATACACACACATATACATATATGTGTGTATACTTGTATATTTTTATTATATATTTCCAAAATTAAATTTTTCTCCGTTTCGCATAAATACCCATACACACACAAACTCATTAGGGATATATATATATATATATATATATATATATATATATATATATATATATATTTCATATATATATATATTTCATATATATATATATATATATAAATGTATATGAAATATATATATATGAAATATATATATATATATATATATATATATATATATATATGAATATATTTTTGTTTTAATGTAGGTTTGAATATAGCGAAGCTATAGAAACCAGCGATGCGTGATGAATTTTTCGACAGCCAACCCCAAAGCCTTGCTTTCTACATTGATCTTCAAAGCGCGGCTTAGCAAAAATCTAAATAGAAAGAATATTTTCGTTTTCATTCACTGGATTTTTACTTTTCAAATGTTCTTTATTCTTTCTGTTAACAACATCTAAGGATTCCTTTTGTGATCATGCTGGCTTTGTGACCTCCCTCAGGGCGAAAAGTCTCGCTTTTGTTTAGCAGAGAGGAAAAGGCGATGTTGTCACCTTCATTCTCTTTCCAGCGGTTTTTCATATTTTCTGCCTCGTCAAAATCAAGACTTCCGGGGATCAGATGAAAACACGTCACCAGGACTTTCCTCAGCACTACTGCTTGTCAATTGTTCCACATAACGTATAAATACTTTAGGAGTTTTAAGTTTCTATTCCTCATATATATTACTTTGCCGTGAAGGCATTCGTGGATAAGAGGATTAAAACCCCACCTGGCTATATAATAGTATATTCTATATAAGGGGACGAAGCTTCGAAAGATACATTTGAAAGGTTTCGAAAATCGCCGGTCAGCAAACGTAAATTATTCTGTTTTTTGAACCACAAAGGTTACTTAAACACATATATTAATATAATTCTTATAGTCATGTTAATGCAATATATATATATATATATATATATATATATATATATATATATATATATATATGTGTGTGTGTGTGTGTGTGTGTGTGTGTGTGTGTGTATCGGTGATGCTGAAATATGCATTTGCAGACACAGAGAGTGGCGTCAAGTTTCAGTTTCGAACAAATGGTGATCTCTTTAAGCATCAGCGCTTCAAAGCCAAGACCCACCTTTGTACACAAATTATCCGTGATTTGTTGTTTGATGATTATACTGCTCTTGTTGCGGCATCCTTTGAGGAGGCCCATCATCTAATAAATCGTTTCTCTGCTGCATGTAAAGCATTTGGTCTTACACTTAGCATAAAGAAAAACTGAAGTTGTACACAAACCTTGTCCTACTCCGAAGCAATTTCGTGGTGTTAAACAAAAACCACCAGTCTACAAATGCCCAGAGTGACCATTGAAAGTAGAAGACAAAACCCTGAACTATATAACATTCTTCACCTATCTTGGTAGCAAAGTCAATTACAGTGCAACTTTAGATGATGAAATCATGCATCGGATTGCTAAGACTACCAGTGCTTTCGGCAAACTTCGCCATCGCTTGTGGAATGAACAGGGTATTCGACTGGATACGAAAATTCGGGTTTACAGAGCTGTTGTACTTGCCATCCTTTTGTATGGTTCAGAGTCGTGGAATCCATACAGGTACCATATGCGCCAGCTAAATGTTTTCCATAATAGCTGTCTACGTGCAATCTGTGCGGTTAAGCTTCAAGATCATCAAGGACATCTAACGTAGAGATGTTTAACAGATGTAATACTGGAGGGATCGAGACTTTTATCATACTTTTTACGGTGGACTGGTCATTTCTTGAGAATGTCTTATGACAGGATACCCAAGATCCTAATGTACAGCCAGATCAGGGCTACAGGAATGTAGGACGGCCATGGCTAAAATAAAAAGACAAGCTGAAAAGCAACTTGTCAGCAGTCAATATATCACATAACACCCTTGAGCGCTTAGCCTTGGAGCGTGTTTTAGTGGACTCAGAAATTTTCAATCTTCAAGAAGCGAGAGCACGATCTAAAATGTCAGCCAATCTAACAATGATCTCATCTCACAATCCTCACATTTGCTCCATATGTGACCTCCTTTGTAAATCACTAGCGGGTCTTAAATGCCACTTAAGATTATCGCACAAAATTTCATAACTAAATCAATAAGCTGTCAGATCCTCATACGTCAAAACCGACAGGAGTGTCCATTATATATATATATATATATATATATATATATATATATATATATATATATATATATATTATAATTTTACATTTTATATATATATATATATATATATATATATATATATATATATATATATATATTTATCTTTCTATATACGCAGATGTCTTTCTCTCGCTTTCTCTCTCCTCTCTCTCTTCTCTCTCTCTCAATATATATATATATATATATATATATATATATATATATAATATTTAAGTATTTTATTTACTCGTATCGGGTTTTCTTTTCTTTGGACTCTGGACTTGGATGCTAGACGATTATTTTCGGCCAACGTACATGTTCTTTGTTCTTTCTTTTTCTGTACCTTTTTCCCTTTGGTATTGGTTTGATTATTTGCAAATCAAGACACCGAAGGTTTTCGAACCAGTATAATGTCTTATATTTATAAGATTATTACTATCATATATATATATATATATATATATATATATATATATATATATATATATATATATATATATATATATATATAATTCTGAATTCTGAACAAGCCTACACGACTATAATCAAATGATTTGTGCGGATGGTCTGGCAGATGGTTCTAAGAACAGGGGCTTTTTGCCCTTCATACGCTGAAAACGACAGGAGAGTGCAATATATATATATATATATATATATATATATTATTTATATGGCAATCCATCTTTTATTAAAGTTTAATTGAAGACGATAAATTTAACTGTGATTAAAACGTTTATTATATGTTTGCTGCATAATTAATTTTTCATCCAACTCTTTTTGGATTCTGCACTGTCCTAAGATTGACAACTAAACACTCTGAAATGTTCGTATTGGAGCTTTCGTCTGAATATTAATTTTACCATTTCCAAATTTCTGGCTGAGTGAATTGCGTCATGGTGCTCTTTTCCTTACAGACGGTGTCCAAATGACCCTATTATACTATGCAGTCAACAAAATCTGCATGTGCGAAATTAAAAAATATATAAAATGGCAACAGTTTATCCATCGTACCATATATATATATATATATATAATATATATATATATATATATATATATATGAACACTAAAAAAGATGAAACCCACTCTCCTCAATAATATCAATTATAAAATGACAGTTTTCGAAAATTAAAAACTTTCTATTTCTCTAATTAATATTTGAACAAACAAAAAATCATTAATAATGGCGAATAGGTTAACTGAAAGCGCTCGGATCCAGGGATAATCGGGACAATTCTTGCCTACTGTATGTCCAAAATGAATTCTTTTGCACGAATGCAACAAACATATAATAAATGTTTTAATCACAGTTAAATTAGTCGTCTTCAATTAAACTTTCATATTTATCATAAGATCGATTGTTTGTTTCATAATGCCTTTTCACATTGTATTCTTTTGGTGTTGCAATGCAGAGGTTGTAAATCAAAGAGTTTATCTTTCCATTAACAGTGGTACAAAAGTACTGCAATTCCCACTTTTCTTGAAACAAACGTCCTTCTTCAGATAATTTTCACCTATTACGAGAGTACACATTTTTAAGGCAAAATATTACAAAATTTCGAACGTTTTCACTTTAAATGTGTTCTTATTTAGTTGTCAAGGATGATCACATGATTAACTGGGAGTTAAAAATAGTCGCTGACATTCGAAAACAAAAAAAAACCCATTGAGATAGACAATAAACAATCTAATCATACCAATTGAAAAAATCTCATTGTTTTTATTAATTTGCATTACGAACATAGACAAAATTCTCGATAGAACACGGTTATAGAAAGCTTTGTGAGTGCTACCAAAATGCAAGGAAAAGGTCGCATGCGGCTCGCCAGTTTGGCACACCTTTTTAAGGTACACGTTAGCCACATTAATCGAATGATTCCGATATATATATATATATATATATATATATATATATATATATATATATATATATATATATATATATATATTATAATTATTACTTAAAAATATGTATTCATAGCAACAGAGAAATTGCCATGTTTCGAAACCAAAGCCTAAATCCGAAATCTTAAATCAAAATTAAAATTTAAAGTTTTGTTTAATTTCCAAGCGATATTGACATGGACGTGGGCGATTATGATATCTACAAGTTCCTTTCCATTGTATCTCTAAGCAAGGTTTGAACTTTTGCGGGCCGACTTATAGTTCAGTAGGTGGTGAGTTTAAAATATATGACTTAATTAAATTTTGGCAAAATTTCTTTTCTGCTATATTTTTAGAACAAAGTTAATTTCGTAATTATTTTATTGTTTGAAATTTTGAGTTTGGTCGTGATGTGGAAATTATTCTAAATGAAATGCAAAAAAAGGTAAACACTGAATGAAGAGGTGTTTTAAAATGTTTTACAAAAATAAAGAATGTTCACTAAATTTTCATTTCCTCATTTCATAAATTTTTGTTTAATTTTTTTTTTTTTAATTCTAGGTTAAAATGATTAATACGCATGTCCGGATTTTACCTCGACTTTATTTCTGTCATATTGTGACCGAGAGTTGCATTTTTCGGATTTATAACTCACAATGAAAAAGAGATTTTCTTTAGGTTTTCTTTTATCCTTCTAAGCGGGAAAAAAATAATCAACTCAAGTTTAAACAAGAGCTTCTTTTTTTTTTCAAGTTTTTATTCATCTGTACCCTTCGAATTAAAACATTCGACTTTTCGTTTCTCTTTTTAAAACCATCACTCCTCTCTCTCTCTCTCTCTCTCTCTCTCTCTCTCTCTCTCTTTTCTGTCTCTTTCTCACACTCTCTACCACTATCCCCCCACCGTGTTTCAAACACCAGTATCAACATTTAAACATATTGGTGTCTTCCCTCTAATGAGGTTATTGTGGACTCTTCCACTTACTATAAAGTTAGTCGGAAAGTAAGCCTTGGGGGAACAGTGAATAGATTTTTCAACTGTGGAACTCACTGCCTTGGCAGAGAGGAACCCGGACAAAGCATTGCCGCAGGGCAAAGTTTCGTCCGGGGAGGTAGACAGTCCCTGAACCCGTTTAGGCGGGTTCAAAGGGAATAGTTTTGGCCAAGCCTACGGGCTCGGAGTACCCACATAAACCGGCCTTGTGCCACATACACCTTCGTGGGGGGTGTTAAATATTAACAGTGAATAGATTGTTCGTTACTATTGAACTCTGTGCCTTAAAAAGAGAAGAACCCGGACGAGGCTTTGCCGAAGAGCGAAGTTTCGTCCGGGGAGCTAGACAAACCCTGAACCCGCTTATGCGGGTTCTAAGGGAATATTTTTGGGCGAGCCTACGGACTCGGAAAACCCACGGTAAACTCGGCTTTGTGCCACATACATTCCTCGTCGTCTGTTAAATATAACAGTGAATAGATTGTTCGTTACTGCCGAACTCTCTGCCTTGAGCATATAGGAACCTAGACGAGGCTTTGCCGAAGGGCATGTTTCGTCCGGGGAGGTAGACAAACCCTGAACCCATTTATGCGGGTTCAAAGGGAATATTTTTGGCCGAGCCTACGAGCTCGGAGGACATACGGTAAACTCGGCCTTGTGCCACATATATCCCTCGTGGTGGGGGGGACTGTTAAATATTAACAGTGATAGACTATTCTTCCGAAGCTGTGACTGTTCGCAGCTCCTGTCAAACTCGGACGAGGCTGCGCTGAAGTGCAGTGTTTCCTCCGCGAACGTAGACAAAACCGAACCCGTTTATGCGGGTTCTACGGGGATTTTTTGGCTGAGCCTACAGGCTCGGGTGACCCACGTTTAACTTAACTTTGGGCCACATATAACCCTCATGGGGTACGGGGCTGTTAAATATAACAGTGCTAGACTGTTCTTCCGAGGCTGTGACTGTTCGCAGCTCTTATCGAATTCTCTGCCTTGGGCAGTGAGGAACCCGGACGAGGCTGTGCCGAAGAGCAGACTTTCGTCCAGGGAAGAAGACAGACTCGAACCCGTTTATGCGGGTTCTACGCGGATTTTTTGGCCGAATCTACGGGCTCGGATGACCAAGGTTAAAGTCGTCATAGTGCCAAATATATCCCTCGTGGGGTGGGGGCTGTTAAATATTAACAATGATAGACTGAACACTGGTCAACCGACAGAAACATTCCCAAATTGTGTAATACACTTTTGTTGTATTTAATGTTCAATACATGATTTATCTGCAATCTCTTGTTTTGTTATTCCTTAACCAAATACGTGGTCACAACAGATTTTAAATCTATTTCTTTGTTTTTTAAAATTAATATTGAAACCTAATATAAATAGTGTTTTAAATTTTATTTCCTGAGCTATGTCTGTAAGTAATTAATAATGTCACCAAAACAATAATTAATTTTCTGGATATTGTGTTTTTTTCTATTACTATAGTTATTACAATAATGACCTTGAACAAAAATCAACATTCTCTAACAAGCGTTCCAGGAAATAGTATCCAGGATAAACCTTTCCAAAGAAGAAACTATGATTTGGAATTGGAATAAAAGTAGTGACGTCATGTACCCTGAATGTATCATAAAGATTGAGGTCTTAAGAAATTGTTCCTAAAAATCAAAAAAAAGACAACGGAAATTCTTGAGACATATAACTTCTGTGGTATTTACTGTTTAATACAGTATTTATCAGCAACCTCTTGTTTTGTTGTTCCTTAACCAATTGCTTGGTCACAATTAATATATTGAACCACTGCCTTGTGGAACCGGTTTCCAAAAGGGTGTCTCCCCGATCGCTACAATGTTAACCTATTCCAGTCTAGTTAACCGTTATCTTCCATACATATACGCATAAGCTGTGCTTGTTACTCTGTAAACCTCGAGGGGCCCTCCAGCTGTATACAGAGTGATCATCATTCGAAATACAAATTAAACTAAAATTACTTCCTTACCTTTTGGGTTTAATTTCGTTTCTCAAGCATTGCAGTGTACTGGGTGTGACGATAAACTACCTCCGGCAGCAAGGCCTCTGACCAGGAGGTTTTGAGGAGTGTAGACCCACTTCTAAATTGCTGTTGTTCCCAGGTCCAGCCTGGGTGGTAGCACCTGTTGGGATCCCAACTGTGGGCAAATAGTCAACCCCAAACTGGGCTCAAAACATTATGAAAGTGTAAAAATAGACTTTTATACTAAACTTTTATAGTAAAAATACCACCAATACATTTTTGAAAAAAAATTACCAGCAATACATTTTTTGGAGAATAAATTTTTACCAGCAATAAAGATATTGTCGGCATTAAGTAACCCATATACCCTAAAACAAAACAAAGCAAGCATTGCCCCAACGACAGACTTTAACACTCTCCTGCTTCCAAAATATCAAAATCTCTCTCTCTCTCTCTCTCTCTCTCTCTCTCTCTCTCTCTCTCTCTCTCTCTATCTATCTATCTATCTATCTCCCGCAATTTCTCTAAACCTTGATCTTCCTTTCTGTCTTGACTGTGAGCATACTTCCAATCCTTCTTCATATTCCCACCAAACGCAATCATTCAATTTCTCCTTTTCATGATCACGGACGCACACATCAACCAACGCACACAGACATAGACAAATATACACAAATACACACTTATTGATAGCAATATGTATTCAAATGTGTCCACCCGTACAGTACTAATACTAATTAATATTCTTTCAGATGTGCGACGCACAAAATCTGAAAGATATAAAAAAAACTCACTTTGCTGGGATATTGTTAAATCTTTGTCAGATTTATTGTGAACAAAACTATAAGAAAATCGATACAAGCGATGAAAAACAGAAAAAGAAAACTGTTTGAAATTCAGAATCGGTTCCTGTTAAAATTCACGACCCGTACGAAAACTGGTTGAGCCAATTGTAGTCTGCAATCAACATCGTAATAATTGGGTGTGGACTTGATTTTTTAAAATTGCCAGAAGCCACAGAAGTCCAGAGAATATTTCAAGTCGAATGTGTGAATATTAGATCTGAACACATTTTATTTTATTTATTTAAAGACTGTTTTTTTTTTCTTTCACATCGTCTCCTATTCTCTAAGAATATTCTCTTTCTCTCTCTCTCTCTCACACACACACACACACACACACACACACACACACACACACACACACACACACACACACACACAATCTCTCTCACTCTCACTCTCTTTAACCTCTCTATCTCCACCCCCCAGTTTTTGTCTCCATTTTATAAGAGTGGCCTGAAAAGTTCATAGGCTGACTATGAGGGATGTTAGAACTGTGAAATCTTCCATGCAATAATTTAAACTCTTCTTATTAATAACTGAATTGTTTCTTTCTAAGGAGACTGACATGTTTAAATAAGATTAAAATATAACTAGTAGCAACTTCTCTTTAAAATGGCCAAAATTTGCCACCGTAATGTTATCATGTACCTGCAGAAAAAAGGGTTTAGTCTCCAAGGAGATTTTTGCTGTCACGGTTGCTACATTAGGAAATGCCGTTCCAGTGTTATCAACAGTGTAAAAGTGGGAATCGGAATTTAGATGGGGAAGTGAGAGACTTTAAGATGTCCCAAGTTCTGGACATCTTTCAACTGCCAACACCAAGGAAGATACTGATCGTATTCACACCAGGCGAGTGACTATAAAACAAGTAGCCAATGCTATTAGCATATCCCTTTTAGAGAGTTGAGAATATTCTGCTCAGTGAACTTGGCATGATGAAGGTTTCTTCCTCGGTGGGTGCCACGTCTTCTGATACCTGATCAAAAGCGCACCAGGTTGATCACATAACGGGAACATCTGAAATTGTTTTAAGGTATATACATCTGTGTGCATATGTGTAGAATTTATGAAATAACTAAAGGATATATCTGTAAAAGGGCAATACGCATATAGACAAAAGGAAAACTTATCTTAGCCGACACTTTTCATCCTCAGATGGATTTTATCAAGGCAAATACAAGGATTTTATTTTGCAACGAGTATTTATAAACAACGAGGAATAGGTGAAGATGTGGATGCATGGTTATCTCCCCTTCCCTGGAGAGGAACTAGAACAGACCAGCCGATCTTAAAACTTATTGTGTTTGAAATCGGTGGGTAGGCCAAGTTCGATACTGCTACTGCAAAAGAACTGAAGGGTAGAGGGATAAAAGTAATTTCACTCGGGTCACGGGTTTGGGCCCCCTGATAATAGTAAGTTATCTAATGATAATCGAATTTGTGGAAATTCCGTTCTAATCTTTGATCTTCGACAGACGTCTTCTCTGTGAAAGGGCATCTCTGTACGTCTATTGGTTAAGTGAGACTTACGCCAAAAATACGTGGCACAAGATGAACCAGTACTCAGTAGTAATGATCTGCGAGGTAAACTTGTCAAGCCTTGCACTACGATGAATGGCTATACGAAATCTGTTCTGAAAGTATACAGCTATTTAATATTAAGGCAATGAAGTTTACTTAAATCAATGGAAACGTAGTTCGCTTCAAAGTGCTTCTGATGGGAGTCCACACACGCATTCCAATGTCCTCTTACGCGATATTTATCGTCTGTCTCACCGTTTTCTCCTTGATCTACTTGACGGCATTTAAACAGCGGTTTTCGGCTTTGGGAAAAAAAAAACAGGCAGAATTCAGAGAGAGACAGATTTAGAATTAATAATAATATTAAAATGTCGTTCAAACTTCCCTGAAATAGACGTGAAAAATGGGCAGATGAAGTACTCAGCTGAATGCAACGTTAACACTTCCGACTGAGTAACCTCATAGGAGAGCGTTGGTTCACGCAGCCTGTGTAAGGAACCCTCATATTGCTTGACAAAATTTCAAGTTACCACTTCCAAATAGATGTTGAGCAAAATAAATTTTCCGTTTTTTGTGAACCAATTTCATGATGAATGTCTGATTCAAAACACTAATCATACGTGCGAGTTAATAATAAATTTGTGCTGCACTAACATAATTAAATTTGGCATTGGCAGCGTACACGGTGGATTCAAAGGAAATGTTGTTTTTACCCATAACAATTCATGGCAGTAAACACCGAAAATAATAGGGAAAAATATTTTGAAACGCATTTGAACTGTTTTACCTGAGTCGCCATCTTCATCTGACCTTAAACCAAGCGATTATTACATTTTTCGTTCGCTGCAAAACAATTTCTAATAAAAACCAGATTCAGAAATTCGTCGAAGACATTTTTTTTATATCAAGACTTAAGGTATTTTTCTTAAAAGAGATGGAAGATTTCTCTGAGTGTCAACAAGTCAGCGCAAATAAATGAGAACGTATAATTGAATAAAATGTAATTGTACTTTATTCTTTGAAGAATAAAGTTGTTAAGCGAAAGCAGGAATTGTTTATCGCTCAACATAATACATAACGGGTGCGATGAGTAAATTGTCGCTATTTTATTTTATTTTTTTATTTCGCGCATGCGCGTTGTTTATTTTTTTGATTTTGTCGACTGCACTGTATAGTAGGGTCAGTTGGACATCCTCTGTGTGAAAAAGAGTAACATGATGGAATTCACTCTGCCAGAAATTTGGAATCGGTATGCTGAACTGCTTGGCATTCGCGCCGGAATCTCCAATACGAACATTTCAGAGACGACTAATTTAACTGTGATTAAAATTTATATGTTTGCGGCATTCATACAAGTGAATTCATTTTGGACATACAGTACGCAAGAATTGGTCCCATTATCTCTGGATCCGAGCGCTTTAAACTAACCTATTCACCATTATCAATGATTTTTTGTTTGTTATAATGTTAATTAGAGCAATAGAAAGGCTTTAATTTTCGAAAACAGTCATTTTATAATTGATATTATTGAGAATCGACTTCAGCTATTTTAGTGTTCATATATATATATATATATATATATATATATATATATATATATGTGAGCAAATATATGGATATAGATCCGACAGTATGAATATAGTCTAATGTTAATTATGTTTTATGAATATGTCCTGAAGATGGTATACTAGACCGAAACGTCCGACGTTGACATTATATTAACATTAAAACAGCATAATTGCATATTAGGATTGTTGTTTTTGTTCCGTATATTTTTCATATATATATATATATATATATATATATATATATATATATGTATATAGGGTAGTTTACAAAACAGTGCTCAATGTAAATTTACAGAGCAGAAATATTATAAATTAACTGATTTAAAATATGCCAGAAATTTAGAAACGGTATGCTGTATTGCTTGGCATTCGCGCCGGAAGCTCTAATACGAACATTTCAGAGTGTTTGGGTGTCTAGCTGAGGGCAGATTAGAGGATTCAGAAAATGTTTTGGATGATATATCCATTCAGCATCATGCTGTTTGGAGTGGTGACTAGAGATGGTGATGTTTATGCCTTCATTCATCTTCCCACAGGGCCTCAGACTCTTGGCCCAAAGCAGCACAGGTAGTGTTGCCTTGGGCTGATGGAAGACCCTATATCTGTCAACTGGACTCTGCACCATGCCACACAAGCAGGAATACTCAGTCATAGCTGCCAGAGAATTTCTTTAAGCACATACCCCCTTACATCTGGACACCTAATGGCTGCAACTCCTTTGATTATTATGTGTGGGGCAGTAGCGAGAAACCAACAAAACTCCTTGTATCACCAAAGATGAACTTAGTGGCATTATCGCCTTGCTTGGGGCGAACTGATTGAAAATAAGTACCTACTTGTGAATTTAGTGTCTATACAGATAGAGGCATTATGTAATCATGTAAAAAATAGAAATACATATATTTACTTGTTTTGAAATAAATATTTGGATAAAGAATAAAATACATTAACTAGAACAAATAGAGATAATATATAAATGGAAAGAATAAAAATAGAAACTAGAATTATTATTATATGTTTTACGATTCGAACCGACAGGTTCATTTCGATTGTTGTTTTGATAGCGTTTCGCCTGTTCTAAATTCCCGCTTTCTTCACGTGTCTGCCATTATTTAAACCTTTATTCAATCTGCATAGGTAGAAAGGTTTCATCAGAGAAGATAAGAAAGAAAGAAAGAAAGAAAGAAAGAAAGAAAGAAAGAACTTAAAATAAAGTAAGAATATAGAAACATAACAGAAAAAGAGAAAGTAAGGAAAATTATAGAAAGCAATGAAACAAAACAAGGGAACGAAAAGAAGAGAAACTCATTTCAAGTTCTTAAAAAAGTGAAAGAAATTCAACAGAAAGAAAGAAAGAAAGAAAGAAAGAAAGAAAATGAAAAATAATATTAAAGAAAGAATCGTAATGCAAAGTTTAAAAACAAATATAGGAGAAAGAAAGAAAGAAAGAAAGAAAGAAAGACAGAAATTTGAAAGAAACTGTTCTAAGAAAGAAAGAAAGAAAAAAGAAAGAAAAAAAAAGAAAAGAAAATGAAAAAAGAAAGAATCGTAATGCAAAGTTTAAAAACAAATTTAGCGACGTTTACAATGCAAGGAAAGAAAAAGAAAGGAAGAAGCAATGAATAGGAAACAACGAAAATTGGAAAGAAAAGGGAAACGAACATTAAACGACATAGTGAATAAAAGGAAATACCAAGAATTATTGAAATATTTGAATATTTAAAAAAAAAACCTGATTTGTTATCAGAAAATATCGGGAGGTGAATTATATGTCAGGAAAAAGAATTCTTTCTTGAGTTGCGAGAAATATAAAAATTAAAAATGACGCAATTTCTCTCGGGAGTTGCTGCAACATTTGACTCTCTACCAAAACCCGCAGCTTCAAAAATGGCGCTTGGTCATTAAAACACCGAATACATCAATCATATTACTTGAAGCCGAACGACTGATGGCTATCAAATATATGTCACCAAATAGTGTAACATGAATTATGGTCATTTTTTTTTAAATCCTGCAACCTATTATAGGGTTGTTAAAATGAAACCACAGCAACAATGCCTAGAAGACAAGACAGACGGAACCCATGCTACTTCAGGGTGTATTTTTTTCTATCGTGTCCTAATGATTTGTTGAAAGACTAAAATAAATTGTGAAATTGAATTAAAGAATTTCTTGTATGATAATCGTTACTCTATTGATAATGTGCAATCTAGAATTCGTGCTCAGATCACATAATTTCAAAAACCTAAATTTCCGCATTATAATTAACGTTATGTATATGTGTGCTTCTGTAGATTGATGATGTCAACATTGTTAAACACTATTATACTAGTGTAAGAAACTCTTATGAAACTGCTAATACACGTATTGTTCTTTTTTTACAATCGATGCCAAGTAAGGAAGCGCATTTTACCATATTACTACTATTAGTTATCATTTTATATGTCATTTTACCGCTGATTTTATAGTTATAACTATTCAGAGATAAGATACGAGAGCAAAACAACACGCAGCAGGTTTAGTCCATAAGAATGAATTTCATAATTTGCATAAATGCGTTAATAAAACCGGATCTGCGATACTGGAACATCTGGTAAATAATCCTAAGTGCGCTACAATGAAAATATGTTTTCCGTTCTAAACCCGTCTGTTGTAACCTAGGGAAGGTTACTGAAGATTTGTAATGAACGATAATACTTAGGACAAGAACAATACATACAAGATTCGCCAGCTGCGCGTAGAAATAGTAGTCAACTGCTAGATGTGAGGCAAGTGAATATCACAATGAATCTCCAACTGTAGGATAGCTACCCCCCGCCACACAGTCAGATGTGGCACAAAGCCGAGTTTAATGTGGGGTATCCGTAGAAAACGGGGTTGGGTAGCTGTTTCCCGAGACTCTACCCTTCGACATCGGATACGAGTGACTGCACCATTTACCCTTATTTACGAGCAATACATCTTTATATAAAAAGGGCCAACAATACATATTTATAGTAAAATGACCAGCAATACATTTTATTTGTAGTTGAAAGTATACAATCGTGTTCAAAATATATTTAGCAAAAGCCATGAAATTGTGGTCATATTATTTAGATTTCGGCATTAAATAACCCGTAGAGGTGTTGATATGCCACTAAACAAAATCAACCAAATCTATTGGGATTCAAGCTCATTCCAGACCCCAAGTGCTACTAAGATATATATAATCAATTGCTAATGATGTTGGGAAAATGGTCGATTCCTTTTACTGCTCCAGAAAGTACCTGACTTCTCCTACCATGCTCTATCCGAAAGGTAGATTCGACCTAAAAGATGAAGAATTAGGAGCTGATCGATCCTCACTTCCCAGAATTGACAGAGTAAAAGATCATTTATATGGCCTGGTGAGCGATGAATTAATTTCAACTCTACATCCTCTTTCCCAGAGACAAAACATAGCTAATCTGTCACGATTGGAAATGATCAGACAAGATATATTTTCCTTATTTCCACCAGTTGATACATTTGCAGTTAGGACCCGTCATCCCACGCACACAAGGTAGAATCTTCCTCATTGATTTCGTATTTCATTGATAAGAAGGAAGTTCCACTTAGAGAGCTTCTTCCCGAGAACAGATAATTTGTGTAACAGACTCCCGAGTGGATGTTTCCCTTCTCTTCAAATCTAGGATCAACTTATTTACTTCCTTTACGTTTTTAAACAAATTCAATTAGTGATCCCCGAAATTGAATGGCGCTTAGGCCTTGTGTTGGGTGATTATTTAAAAAAAAAAAAAAAAAAAAACACGAGCAATCATTTGCAAAGCAAGCTAGCTAACCGAACTCTATGTAAACCTCACTAAGACATGTTCAATTTGAACGTCATTACAAAAGCGATGAAACGAAGAACCGACATTGGGTTAAACGTGATGCCGCGGTTAATTAACGGAAACTTTCATTTTATCGTGTAACATTGAACAAGGCAATAATAATAATAATAATAATAATGATAAAAATCGGCAACTTCTACGGAAGGAAACTGAAACTGGTATGAACACCACCCAGACCTGGTTACGGAGATAGGACCTGTTACAATTCTATGGGACTACACAATACACACTGACAGAACAATCAAGGCCAACCGGCCAGATATTGTTATTAAAGACCACAAACAAAAACGGTGCCTCCTTATTGATATGGCAGTCCCTGCTGACTGCAATGTATCTTTGAAGATATTTAAAAAGTTGTCAAAGTACAAGGACCTTGAAATAGAAATCTCGAAAATGTGGCATATGGGAACATCAACAATCCCTGTTGTAGTTGGAGCCCTAGCACTGATTGGAAAAGATTGTTGTAGACTAATTAAAGGGATTCCTGGAAGTCCATGCCTCAAGGAGATAGAAAAAAATTGTTCTGACAAGTACAGCCCACACCTTACGAAGAGTTTTATCTATGTAACTTTATTTCATTTTTTTTTTTTTTTTGTCAGTGGAAAGTGTCATGGCGCCATTTCTAACCTTAGGTCCCTGGGCGGGACCCGGAAAGAAATGTGTAAACGCCAGAAATCAAATAAAATAAAAATAATGATAATAATAATAATAATAATAATAATAATGATAATAATAATGATAATAATAATAAATAAAATTTAATTTCGATGTCCAAATGGAATAAGTTCCGTCAAATAGTCGGCAGTGGAATCTGACATTTTATGCATTCGGTTTCGTATAAGAAAAATAAGAGAAAACGTAATAAAATGAAATGAATATATCGCCAGACGTGGGCTTGATAACTTATTTAAAAGTTAGTTTTTCTATCTTGAAGTCAATAGAGACCAGGGAGAGATTGACGTTCGACCTACTACAGTGCACTCACTTGTCAAGATTGTCAAAAAAGAAAAGACAATACCAAAAAGAATACTCAAGCACACAAACACACACACACACACACACACATATATATATATATATATATATATATATATATATAACACGAGTAGAGAAAAAAGATGTTTTAATCTTTGTGACAGACTTATGACAGGGAGTTGTGTAAATCGAAAAGGCAAAGTATTGCAAAATATGTGATGCTTTTGTTGTTATTCTTATCAATGCATCCTTGCATCTTTTGTTTGCATTCTTCTTGCTCCTTTCGAAGAATTAGATAGAGTAACTGTAGTAGTCATAGGACAATTTCATATTGGTAGTATCTGATGGATTCCATTGATGATCAGCAAGTCTGCACAGTGTAATGATTTTCTAATCCCAGCTTAGATGTGGCACAAGGCTGAAAGTATGGGGCACCCAGTGAGGATCGAACTCACTACTCAGTCGTAAGTGATCTAGCAAGACAAGCTTTCTAAACATTACATCACATCGAGGTGTCCCAAGTCTGAACAGTATATCTGTAATATCCTAACTATTCTAGATGATTTTTATAATAATCTCTTTTGGAGATTTTTTTACTATATATATATATATATATATATATAGTCAACTCTCCCGTCGAATTCGACGTATGAGGGTCAAGCAGATCAGGAAACCGACAGCCCGACAACAGCACATGAGATTTGATTATAGTGGTGAAGGTTTCGTGCAGGACCAGCCACACTTTTTGAAGGGCCGAATTCAGAGACCTGGTGAACTGCGTTCCACAAGGTCCCCAACCAGCATTCCGCAGATTTTGAATTCAAAGTTGTCCTTCTCCTATACGAGTTGCCATCCAAGGCTATAGAACCCGGCCTGTCCTGCTAATTATCTATAGCTGGAGGGAGAAGAAGAGGATTCATAACTTTCCCAAAGGTAGTATCATTTAAGTCAATGTAATGAATTCTACTGGAATTCGATATATATATATATATATATATATATATATATATATATATATATATATATGTGTATGAATGTGGGTGTTTGTATTTCTCTGGGCATAATTGGGTAATATAAAGATATAGGAAGATAGTTGACATTAACATATGGATATAACGATTGATAAAATATAACGTAGTTTAACAGATAGATATGAAAAGAGTGCGATAGATAGATAGATAAATAGATAGATAGATAGATAGATAATTATTAATTCATTCAGTTAAAAAGATAGACAAATAGATAGATCGATAAATAGATACAACGAAAGAAAGAAAGAAAGAAAGAAAGAACTCAACTTTTAATAGACATGGATCATTGGGAAATGTAAGTAAGAAAAGAGAAACACATGGTAAAAATAATCGAAGAATGAGCAGATGGAAATCAAATGAATCAAAATGGCTGTGAATCGGATGGGTAGAAAAAGACGAAAATCTTTTCTATAAAAAAAAATAAAAGATGGAATAAAGGAATTTCAACAATTGAGAGAAAAGAAAGGCGAGTTAAAGGAAGAAAAGAATCAGACTCGAATGAATATTCGGATGTGAAACCAGATAAAGAAATACGAGAAGAAATTAAAAGATGAAGCAAAGGAAGCAAAAGCGGCTGTCGAAACCTTTGGAAACCAAAGAATCCTCGGAAGATGGACTGAATTAACGGAAGACAGACAATGGAAGGCGGAAATAAAATTGAAATCGAAGCCTGAAAATAGCAAGGATTACAATGCTTGGGGAGGAAGAGGATTAAAGCATTCTGCACACGTGGGTTATCGTTCCTGTCTTTGCGCTTGCGCAGTCGTTCGTATGCATGCATGGCGACGTTCACATATTGAAAACTGTATCTTTGATTTTTATGCATGGTTTTGGGACTTAAGCAGAGAGAGATTGTGTGTGTGTGTGTGTGTGTGAGAGAGAGAGAGAGAGAAAGAGAGAGAGAGAAAGAAATCATCTTCTGATTTTAAGCTGCGAAGTTTAATTATATTTAAGGCGGTAGCAATAGAAATGAAAGTCTTTATCATGTCCTCAGTATCAGAAGCATATTTCAATAACCAAATTGTCTTTGCAAAATGCTTACTAGATTCTTAATGGTTCAATGCGGTCTCACCCTACAGTTATGTTTACATAGAAAAGTGGACAAAAAGTTCAACACGAATGGTGATGGTCTGTTTCATACTTGAACGCAATCTTCAGTGCAAATATTTTTAAACATATGTCAGCCATGCGTGATAAACCCTCAGATCATCATGTATCTTTCGATACATGACTGAGGAGTTAGATTTTTCCCGCAGTAGGTTGCCATTTTGCCAGTTGCTATCCAAGGCTATAGAACGGTTTGTCCTGCTATTTACCCATAGCTGGAGTGGGGAGAAGAAGAGGATACAAACTTTTCCAAGGGTATTAGCACATAAATGAATGTAATGGATTCGCGTGGAATTCGAACTCGGATCTCCATTACTCCACCGTGCCTCCTTTAAACATATACATATTCATATATAGAACACACACAGACATGTTATCAATTTTTTTCTTGTCTTTGTATGAGTTTTCTTTTCTAAACACAAAGTGTATAAAACCTGCCCAAATGTTTTATATATCCGTGCGCTTTCGACTATAATATTAGCCATTATTATGTTGCATGTATCTGACCATAGCTCAATTAGGACCCATTTTAACACACAGAGAATCGTAGCATCTATTGACCATGTTCACCATAGTCTATGAATATAGAATACAGCGCAGTACGTAATCTGTTCAATGAAACAACGTTAAAGATTAACACTCACGAGTCAGACACTCTACTGAATCTGACTATATCGCCAATACCACCAGCAGCTGTTCAGTAATTCTTCAGTCTTCGATATCAAAGGCTGGCAGTGAATATTCGGGAAAAAAACATGGCCGCCTTTATACACGTCGCATTGAATATTTTGAGCCTTCTGATTGGTTAACCCTTCTATTGGTGAACTATAAAATGAGTCAGCTCATTTTGGCTGGCTCACTAGTACACCAGGGTACCCAAAAATTCCAACAGCATCATTTCCTGCAACACACTCATAAAAAGACGAATATAACGGCCTCGTCCACATGTTAAATAAAGGACAAGAATAATGGAAGCATGAATGATAAAAAAACCCACGTAAATGCCAGTAATCAATAATATCAACTATGAACACATCCAGCACATTGTGGCCGTGTTTGGGAAATAAAACAGAAATCATTCCCATCAGCATAGATAATACATATATAAAAATCTTAATATTCAGTTTTTAAAAAATCCTTAATAGTGGCCAATAGAATAACCGGAAGCGTTTGGATATATAGAGGATTTCAATATTTTTACACGTGTTTAGTAAAAGAAGCACTTTATTTGAACAAAAGAAAACTAAATAAATGTCTTAATCGCAATATCTAGTCAGTTGTCTTTAAGGAAACTTGTATAAAAGAGGGGTTGCTGCCCAAAATACACAATTGTTACGCACTCTCTCTCTCTCTCTCTCACACACACACACACACACACATATATATATATATATATATATAGAGAGAGAGAGAGAGAGAGACAGACAGACAGACAGACAGATAGATAAATATATAATTATCTATCCCACAAAATGTTTAACATCTAAAAAAACACTAAACTGAGTTTTTCCAGGTTTTCACATATGACGTTTAGCCATCTTGACCCTATTTGTCATAAGAATCGCTGAAAAGTTCTTTGAGTTATTCAGCTAAAAAGAGAACAGTTTAAAATCGTTTTGTGTCAGCTCCACTGTGTCTTCCCAACAGAACAATGGGCAGAGGAAAAAGATGATTCAGTAGCGAGGAAAACTGGATCAGGAAGTCACAACAGCTACAGGGATTATCATTTCAAGTTAGAGATTCTTATTGTTCAAAGTCAATTGTGTCATAAGAAGCCAGACATCTTCAATCTTTTCTATTATACAGCTGCTTAAAATCTAACATTTAGACAATGATGCCATTACACCTGGTACACACACACGCACACACACACACACACACACACACACACACACACATATATATATATATATATATATATATATATATATATATATATATATATGCAAACACCACAGCATTCTTTAAGTTTTGCTAGAGTATCAAAACAGATGCCTACACACCTAACGTAAATTGGGAATTCGTAGCACAAACCAAGCCATTTTCCGGCAGGTGAGTCGGGGCGATGCAACCTATGTCTATTAGAATAAATTCATCCTCAAAAATATTAGCAATGTAGGGCTACTTAATAAGCGGAACGAACTCATGATAGCCAGTAGGCACAGAAAATTGTCTCTCTTAAAATGCTGGAAGCAAGATTAAATTCCTCTTTTTATTATATATTTTTCTTTTATTAAGCTTTAGGTTTCATACTTGCTTATCTCCCTTTAACCCGGCAAGCGTTACTATATCAGAACTAGACCAGCGGCTCCAGTAATAATTTTAAATTTCTATCTTTTTTCTTTATATTTTTCTTTATATATTTTTAATTTTTTTTTCCTTTTTTTTTTTAAAAAATAAAAAAATATGAAGCCTACCTGCACTTCATTTCCTGCACCTTTTGTACTATTTTATTTTTGGTCTAAGAAGCAGCGTTCCTCCCGATATGACATCTGTGTATTTTTATAAAAACATAAGTTATACTCTGTGCCCGATGAGCTGGCACACCAGTGAAACTTAAGTCGCACACCAAAACGTAAGTATATGTATATTTATTAATATATATCTTTGCTCTGTCTAACCACATCGAGGACTGTTATGTTTACCTCATTAATAAATCTGGTGATTATTTATTTGTTTGCCTGTATATATATATATATATATATATATATATATATATATATATATATATATATATATATATAGTTTATGCAAAACTAGGTAATCCGTATGGGTAAACCCAAGGATGATGATAACCGGAGAGCTCAATGTAAGTTCAGAGCAAATATGTTTAAATAAAAAACATAAAAAGTGGGGTTAGGGATAAAGAATTAAAATGGTACATCTAACTCACTCATGTCTTCTCTCTCCCCACTCACTTCCTCACTTCATCTTCTCTCCCCCCTCACTTCCTCACTTCGTCTTCTTTCCCCCCTCACTTCCTCACTTCGTCTTCCTTCCCCCTCACTTCCTCACTTCGTCTTCTTTCCCCCCTCACTTCCTCACTTCGTCTTCTTTCCCCCTCACTTCCTCACTTCGTCTTCTTTTCCCCCCTCACTTCCTCACTTCGCCTTCTTTCCCCCTCACTTCCTCACTTCGTTAATTTACTTATGCTTGATACGGCCCGTCAAAAAATGTGTAAATTTCTTTTCATTTTCATTTCAACCTTTGGAAGTAAAGTCTGATGATCCAGATCCCTTTTAAAAGGGCTGCAGTGAAATTATTTATTACATGGAACCTTAAAGTGGTCTGTTTTTATTAAAATATATATATATATATATATATATATATATATATGAGGGGCTATAGTCCTTATGCGCTTAGTAACGAAAATTTAAGAGAACAGGACTTGTAAAACGTTTACGTACTGTTTAGTTTCAGTTACTCTTTCCCTGTATTACTTTTGTCTTACTCTGGTACACGTTGGCTTGAAAGAATTTATTTTTAAAACAAATATTTCACATAGTAAGTTTTTATTCTTGTCAATAAAATGGAAGAGTTTTTAAAAAAAAAAAATTGACATGAGAATTTCAAGAAATATATTTTTCTTAAAAGATTTTTTTGTAGAACAAAGCTCTTCTTGTTTCGCATTCTTATAAAGGAGGGGGATGCACTTAAAACATGGATGGAAATTGTCTCCAGAACGAACTGGTTGCATTAACAGTTTCTTTTTTAGGAAAATCTGTGCAAAATCATAATAATATATGAAGTTGACTTCAAACAATCTTAAAAAGTAATCTTTAGTCTGTAAAACACAACCAATATATCATTCTCATGCCTAAAAAATAACCTAGAGTTTATTCGCGACGGCATAAATACTAGCCTGTGAAGGCCTTTATTAGCAGTGTAGAGAATGCTGTATTAGAATATTGACAGAAAGGAATCTTCCGTGTCACGCGTCGTGAACCATCTTAAGTTATCTGAAAGAGAATTTTTGTTATATGACTGCAAATCAAGATGAATAATTTTTACGTCTTAAGGTTGCCTGTTTATAAAAAGTCACAGAGATGATAACAGTTTTCTTCTCTTAGACAATTCCTTCACAAACATTCAGAAGCATAGGATAACAAAAGCAACAGAACATACTTTTATTTTCCAAATGGCATTTCGGGAAAACAATGATTCTAACGTTTCAACAAATCCTGTTTGCTGATCAGCACTCTGAA